ACAAACAATTCTGAAGGGCGGTCAGCATCAATTAAAGTAGGAATAACAGGTAAACCTTTCCAAGTTAAATTTACCTTGCCAATCATCAAACCATTCATTCAGTGTGGACATGGCCCATAGATCCCAGTTGGAATAGACACAGGATTTTCACCCCCCCCCCAAACGGGCTAACTCTCTGTGCAGCCCAAACATCTAGCCCTGAGCTCCCCGCGTTCCACAGTGAGGGAGGATATGTCCTGCCTGGCACCCAGGCCGTCAGGCGTTGGACTTGGGCTTGTGTTTCAATTGGGTACCTCCGTGTTAGTGATAAAGAATTGGCTGTTGCTTGGATTTGGATTGGTTGCCGCTGATCCAATGGCAGTGAATTGGCAGTTATTGGACACCCTCTCAATTTTTTTAGGGCCCTAGAGAGAAGGGCCCTCCCTTCATTTCCCTGAGGAGTTCCATCTGTATGATACCTGGAATAGCAATCTCGCCTGGTGAATTCCGTTCTTACAGCGTGAGCTTAGCCCTGGTTGCTGACCTCCTTCTATGATAAGTTCCAAATTAACATTTTTTGAAGCAACATTCTTGAAATGTTTCTTACTTTGTACTGTTTTATTATGGTTAAAACACTTTGAGCCTGATTTCCCCTCATATTTTGGCTTAAGTGCTTGTGTCATCAAAGCCATATTATATGAGGGAGATCCAATATCCCTGCAGGCTCTAATATAGGCTCCAAGGTCATTGGTAAACTTTACAATATTAATTGCCTGCCTGCAGTCTGTGTTAGCATTATCATAAGCCAGTTGTAACACCAAAATATCAGCTGCCTGAGAATTAGATATTTGCCTCTTAATTGCATCTTGTATTTTGGCTACGAACTCTGTGTAGGGCTCATTTGGACCTTGGAAGATCCGAGTAAAAGATTGAACTGGGCACTATCGTCTGGCACCAAAGTCCAAGCATGACGCATGAAATCAGCCATCTGAGTGAGAAACAGCTTAGGACAATGGGCCTGCCTATTTATGTCAGCAAATTCACCAGTACCTGAAAGCACGTCTAAAGTGATGTCAGCTTCCTCTCTTCCTCCCTTCCTGTTCTTATGAGCCTGTTCATTTACCAAAGACTAATTGAACTTGAAAGTACAGATACTGGGAACGGGACAGGCACGCTTTTTGCTAAATGACCGACATCAAAGGGTGTCAGCATGTAAGCCTGCAAAACATTTTCTAGTAAGCCAGTGGTGAGAGGGCTTTGGATGCCGTTATTGACATTCTGTCTTTCAGGTTTTTCAAGATTTTAAATTCAAATGGTGGGTAAGCATATATTTTCTGAGCGGGATGATCAGGATCTTCCTGTACTCCAACAGGGAAACAGTGCAGACCAAAGTCCTGTCCACACCTAGCAGCTTGATGTATCACCTTTTGATACTTGGTGACAGTGCAGCTCCTTGCAGTGTCTGTGGCCAGGCAGGCTCCAGCAGCTCTGTCGGAGGAAGAGCGAGTTTCTCCTCTGGCTCCAGAGGGGCACTAGGAGACTGCTGAGGACGGGCGCGTTCCCTGGAAGGAGCACGTTCGCTGCTGAGTGGAATGAAGCAAGTTTGGTGGAAGATTTAGGAGTTTTAGAGCTAGGTTGCAAAGGTGCCAGAATCCAGCACACGAGAGCCCAAGTTGTTAGGGTCTCTGGGGAAGTAGTTTTTCATCTCTGTTGAGCATTGGAGATTTTTTCCCTCATGCTGCCAAACTTAAATCTAAGGTTCCCGCCAGCAGGGATCCCAAATCGTATTTCCAAGGATTGGCACAGTATAGTTTGCTGTTTAAAAAGAGTATGGAGCACATGGATGTAATTTTGCTTGGCTGAGAAAGATTACCCCATACTTTTTCTTTTTCTTTTTAAATTTAAGCTCCAGTTAATTATTTACTCGCATCTGAAGCACTCACCTCTTTTCCAGGTTTATGCTTCTGCGGACATCCTTCGATGACACGAGCCCCTCTGTCGCTGACTTCTTATTTTTTATTGAGTAGCTTCACTGAGCAGGTGGTTCTTGTGGGTCAAGCTCCCACAATGGGCGCCAGTTGCCGGGGACTCCTGCAGGAAGTCTCTAGTCCCCACCTGCCCAGTGCGTGATGCAAGGTTGAAGAGAAACTTAAGACAGAGTTAAAGAGAGCGTGAACTGGGACGGCCAATGCTTCTTTGGCAAAAGGCACTGTCCAGTCTCTTCCACCAAACTTTATTATTCGTCAGTCAGGGTAAAGGTGCAATAAGTGTACAGATGGGCGGTACGTGAAATCACCATGGAAACTAACGCAGGCAAGGCTTTCAAGAGAAGGCAAAGCATTTGCAAATTAGGAACAGAATAGACAAAATACATGGTTGTAATCGGAGCATTGTCCTTCGGGCTATGAAGGCACTAATTGTGGGAGTGGAATTTGGGTGGGATTCCGCTGACCTCAGCTACGTGTATCGTCTCCTATCGGCCCCACAGCCTCATAGGCCCTCACTCTGGGCTCGGCTGTGGCCGTTCGCGGGGAGGCCATGTTAACCTGTGCGTTCCCGCGGTGCCCGGGAGATGCTTCTGTGAGTGACAGCTTCAGTCAGACGCTCTTACAGTGAGAGCCCTCGAGGGATTTAACTCTTTGCGGCTTGCACTGCTGACAGCATGTTTGGGGCATAATCAATATTGTGGGCTCTGGCAAACCTAAAATACCCTTTTTTTGCTAAAGTGATGTGACAGTATGTTTTTCTTTTATGATTTTTTGTGCAACAGAATTTATCCTGTGTGGTTTGTAACTGGACAAGTGCTGAAAGCAAAAACACAGACATGATGGGAAGGAAGTTGACAATGAGAAAACGAAGCAGTTTATTGGTGGTTATTCATTTAACAATGAAATTATTTTTGCAAATATGGAGCAGAGAAGGTGGCTGGACCATCTTCACTTCAAGGTGTGAACCATTAGTGTTTCCAAATTTTATTGATACTACTATTGTTGTGGTACTGGGAGTTGAACTCAGGGCCTTAAGCGTGCTAGTTGTGTGCTGGCCCACTGAGCTACATCCCAGGCCCCATCACAGTATTTTTTAAATTACTGCATTTTGATGATGAAAGTATAAATACTTGGAACTACAGGTAACGTATCTTTTTGAGGTGGTCTTCATTTAGCATAACGTTTTCAAGGTTCGCCATAGTGTAGGATGTATCATTGCTTTATTCCTTTTTATGGCTGTATACTAACCCCCAGTGTGGATATACCATTTTACTTATCTACCTTTCACGTGATGGATCCCGGGATCAGTTTTTTTGAGGGCTGTCTGAATAATGTTGCTCTTGACATTCATGTACATGTTTTGTGTAGACATGTTTTTATTTCTATTGGACATGTATTGAGGCTCATGTTAGCTTTATCGTATGTTAACATGTTAAGGAGATGCTCCGTGGCCCGAGCAGCAGCTCGATTCCATGGCTCACTGCGCTGTCTTCACTGGTGACTGCAGATAACAGTGCGGCCCCTGGCTGTACCATTTTACATTCCCATCAACAGTTGGTTTCTTCACAGACTTGTGAGCACTTGTTACTGCCTGTATGAGTCTAGCTTTCCTCATACGTATATTTTTCTAACGCCACGTCTTATCGTGTGCTTTTGCAGATGTCTTTTCCCCTTTTTTAATTGGGTTCCTAGAGTTGGTTTTTGGTGTATTTTTATTCTGTAAATTATTTGAAGGTAACTTAAAATACTGAAAAATAATTTTTAAATGGTTCTTTGGGCCTAGATGATAAACGGTAAAAAGGTTTTCCTGGTACGCTGAGGTTTAAATTTTTTCAAATACAGAATTTGTTTTGGAGAAAATTCTAAAACATAATTTTAATTCATTTATGTGGGCCTTTTTTTGTACTGGGGATCGAACTCAGGCCCTTGAACTTGCGAGGCAGTGGAGACACTAACGTTGGCCTTTTAAAAAAATAAAATAAAATAAGGGCCGGAGATTTAGCTCAGTGGAGCCTCTGACGGCCCTGCAAGCATAAGGACCTGAGTTCGATCCTCGGTAACAAAATAATTGAAAAAGAAAAAGAAATTTGGTGGCAAAATTAAACATTTAACCTAAAGTCCAGTAAATACCTAGAAAAGCCCGTCTCTCTGTCTCTGGTCCGTTTGTTGTAGTTACTTTTCTCTAACACATAGCTGTATTACTTGGAAGCATTTTCCTGACATGGAAACTCAGTCCTTGATTTTTTTTTTTTTAGGTATTTGTATTTTATATTCCCTCCGTTTGATGCTAAGTTTCTAAACCACTCTTCGTGATGAGCCCTGCTCTCAGGCTCTTCTGTGACAGGGTTGCTTGGCAACATGTGCTGCTTGGGAGGGTCGGCCTCGTTAAGGGAGTAGGGCAGGTCAGAAACCGAAGCTCCTTGTGTTCTCTGCTGGCTTTGGCAACCCAGGTTCCCCGCAGTTTTCAGCGGTTGTGTGAAGGCTTGCAGCTTGCTCATTCACAACCTAGTCATCCGCTCCCGTTCTCCTCCCCAGTGGGTTGTGAAGGAGCTCGTAGAGGAGCCTCACAAAAGGACTGCATGGGAATCAGGAGCTGGAGGGGCACAGACAGCCCTGCACTGCCCGGATACTTAGTGCACCCCAGTGAGGCTGGATTAGAGCGGGGCTGGTGGTCACCGTCACACATAAATCACGGAGTGCTGGGTTAAACTCCCTGCTCTTACATTCCAGCAGCCTCCCGAGCGGCCGTGTCAGTGGGCCCCCAGGAAGGTGGGTTGTCACATTCTGAGAGCAGAGTTAAGGTGTCACCTGCTCTCTCCCAGCCCACCTGTCATACCCAGCTCACCGCCACCATCCGGAGCATTACTCATCAACCTTTTCAGGATGTACTCAGGACCACATTAGGTGCAGAGGTAGGAACTCCCTGTGTGTGAAATGAGAGATGTTCTCAGCTGTCCAAATTATTGAAGAATGGCTTAAATTCTGGTTTAATCTTGGTGTTTCTGATGTATTCTTTGTTGTTTTCCCCCCTAGATATTGAAAGGTATAGTAAAAAATACATGCAGACATACAAAGAAGAATGGATACCAGGTAAGGCTGTCTTCCTACCCCATATTTTTGCAGGGTAACTTTTTTGTTCTCACTGTAGGAAAAAAGTCTGGTACTTTTCCTAACAGATAATGTAAGTCTTTTGAAAACTGAGAAGAAAAGATTTTTATAATGAATAATGTATTTGTGAAAGTTCTTAAAGTACAGTTTTTATAAAAATAGGACTTGCCACAGCTTTTAGCTTATTTCATTAGCCATAATCACACTCTTAATTTCTGATACCAAAGAGCAGTTGCTCCATTGCTTCTGAGCAATCTTGAAGCTTTTGAAAAAGCAGAAATCTACTTGGAGAGATATTTCAAGCAAAGTTTACAGACTTCCTTTCTTTCAGGCAGACACGGACTAGTTTTAGTTGCTCACATGCCTTTTCGGTGGGAAGTTTCGTTTTCAGCATTCAAACATTTTACCGTAGATGCTGAGAGGGCAGAGGACCTGCGGAGATCTCGTGTGCCCCATCCACTGTGCAGATCAAAACAGCTGCCGCAGAACTGAAGCAGCCTGAGGGGGTCCCTGCCAGTACTGCTGGAACTTGGATCCCCTCCTTCAGAGCCCTTTCTCTTTTTGTCTCTGTCCTCGGGGGCTTCTAGAAACTACCCCTGAAAACACTTCCGTGGCCCGAGCAACAGCATTGATTCCACAGCTCACCGTGGTGATCGCAGATAACTGTGGGCCCCCGGAAACACTCCTAGATCTCTCACCTTCTGTTACACTTCATTAATACTCACCTTCCAAATGAGTCTCTTTACATCTTCATTATCTGTAGTGATTTATAAAGTCAAGTACATTCAAAGCAAAATTTATTTGTTCATCTAAAATGACTTAGATTTAACTGTTTTCCACAAATGTACTGGAATTTCTTAAAATCCACTTTTTCCTATCCTTAAAAGTAGGGGCTGGGAGTATATGAGGTGTGATGAGAATATATAGTGAATGTTTACATAAGTAATGGATTACAGTAAAAAACATTGCCATTAAGCCCCTTCAGAATACTCCCCCGTGTTTCAAACCCAATCATCCCATCATTCTTGCCATTTCAAAGGAGTTCTGAAAGTCCTCTTTCATATCTTCATGAGGTGGGTTCGAAAAGTATGATGAGTGTGTCTGCCGAGTTCCATCTGAAAGAAGGGCAGCTTGTACAAACATGATGACGTGTCCTCATCCGTCTTAGTCACTGGATCTGCCACATGGCCATTCTGGCTCTTCCCCAGAGACAAAATGACCGTGGAAGGCAAGAGTTTCCATCCATTCAGGACATCAGAGCAGCAACAACAGGGCAGCCAGAGGCACTTGGAAAGGAGGACTTCCAGAGCTGTTTCTGGAAGTGGGCAAGAATGAGGGGCTAAGTGTGTTTGCAGGAAGGAGAGGGGATGTTAATGGCAGTGTGTCTTTTGCTGTGTAGTACATTAAGAAATGAACACTCACTGTGTCTATTTATCACACTGTTCAGGGGTAGAATGCTTGCCTGACAGGGGTGAGGCCCTAGGTTTAATCCCCAGGAACCCTGCCGACCTAAAAAATACTTAGAGTGAAAAAGTAGAGGAATTGATTTTAGCTAATGCAGGCACAAATCATTTATTGGAGGAGGAATTTATTTTTCCAGAGCTACTGATAGTTTGAATTTTGAGGTTTTTAGATAATTATTACAAGTTTTTATTTCAGACATGCTTGGCTTGTAGTCACATGCTTTTAACTTTTGAAAAAAATTTCTGTTACACAAGAAATGTATATCAACTACAGAAAAGTTATAAAGTAGTTAAATAATTTTTAGCAACAGCAGTTGTAACCTTAAAATCCACAGCAATTACCCTAAGATTGTATTCCAGAAAATTTTACTGCACTCTCTCAAGGCAATTTTGATGAACTTCTTTTCTTTACTGGAGAAAATATACCACCGCCTGTTATATTTATATTTATTTCAGCCTAAATCTGTATAGTCGAGTACTAAGAATTATCATCATTGTTACCATCATTGCATGGGCAGTTGTCCTTATGTTTTTTAATGTTCTTTAAATAGTTATATCAGATAACATTGATTGCTAAAGGAAACTGAAAGTTTTATATTTCTTCTTCTGTACACATAGATTGGAGAAGACTTCCAAGAGAGATGATGCCACGGAAAAAATGCAGAAAAGGTACGTTGACATCATTGCTGAAATTCATGGCTGTGGCTATGGAGATCACATTCAGAGCCTCACGCCTGCTGTGCAAACACTGTCACTCTGCTCCATCTCCAGCCTTCTTAGATTCATTTCGAGACAGTATCTCAATAAGATACCTAGGTGGTCTTAAATTTATGATCCTCCTGCTTCAGCCTCCTGATTAGGATTACACATGTAAACCATTACTCCCAGTTTAAATTCTGTTCATATAAATTGTCAATCTGAAGTTGAAGTTACCAATTTTTTCTTAAAATCTGTTTGACATTTTTATTACTTTGCTGAAGGTTGGTGGCTTTTTGTTGTTAGGATGGATGGATGGATGGATTGATTGATTGATTTATGGCGGTATTTGGGAATGAACTCAGGACCTTGCACTTGCAAGGCAGGCAGCGACGCCACTGAGCTAAATCCCCAGTCCTGCTGTTAGGATTTTTGAGGTTGTTGGAGTTGTCTTTTCTTTAACTACAGATGTTTAACTTGATGTGCTGGAAAGACTTTAGTAATGTAGACCTTTTCATCTGCTTATCTGCAAAAGTCTTTATAATGATACTGGATACATTCTGTGTTATCAAGTAAAACATTTTAAAATTGGAGTACTGGTAAATAGATCTTTACGTTGTATATAAAAATAGCAAAGGGAGTGTTTATGTTTCGGTTTTTGCTAGTAATTCCAGACAGTACATAGCTGAGTACATCCTTTTGCCAGACCCTGCAGACCATTCTGGGAGGAATGGAGCAGTGGCTGTTTGGCGCTGTCCCTGGTCCTCACGGGGCGGCCCAGCAAGGGTTCTCTGAGGAGACTGACGTGGAGTCAAGGTGGAAGGATGGGCAGAGAGGTTACTACAGCGAGTGGAAGGAGGGAATGGGACAGGGCCCGCATTGCGAAGAAAAACCTGATGCCCTGGCTGCCGGCAGTCCTTTGCCTTCGACACACGGGGGCGCTGGCCTGTTGGGTGCAGGCACACGCACCTGGGGATGGAGGTGCTCACCGCCAGCAGGGATGGGGTCTGGGGAGGGCTGAAGTCATTTAGGTGAGAGTAGAGAAAAGTAGAGGGACGGAGGCCTACAGGGTCTGCCGGGCTGGCAGAGGAGGTAGAGCGGCCAAGAGAGGAAGAAGAGGCAGTGAGCAGGAGGGTGAGGCACAGCCTGAGGAGTATGTGGCCCTGCTCAGCCAGGTCAGCGAGGTCACTGCCTTGTGGTGCCTAAAGATTGGCGGGGTGGCATCCACCCTGAAAGGGAAACGGGACCTTTCAGCGTGCCGGAATTTCCATTTGTTAAGAAACAGTAACCAAGAGATGGAGGGAGGGGAAGGGGACTTAAAAGAATCCAGATGTGTTCTGTCCATGTAGCATCTCCCGCGATGAACATGGTCACTGTGTACTGGTAAAAGTCCAAAAGAGCAAAGGCAGCAAACTTTCCCCCATTCTGTTCTCATACTTTTTTTGTGGCAAAGATAGAAAAGATTATTTCTTGAAGCAGCTACTGATGAGCATTGAAAGAAACCAAAAAATTCAAGTATATGCATATATTTGGCTAAAGGTAGAAAAAATTGATGTTAATATTTGGGGTCAGTACGGTCTTTTAGCAGTTTTGGTAATTTGACACTTGTCCCTCAATTATACATATAAAGAGTGGGTGTTGAATAAAACCTGAGTAAGCAGAGAATGCTGTGACCTTTTGTTAAGAAATTAGTAATATTTATAAAAATATATACCTGACCATTGTGTATAGTATCTAATAGCAGGCTTATGTATTATGAAACTAATTTGACAAAAAGACTTCATCATGTGAATGAATTACCTTCTTAGCTGTATTTTTTTGTGCTCCTATGAAGCAGTCTTTGCCCTCACGGCGGGCAGAGGAAGTTACGCAGCATCCCATGTGTTACCGTGTGTGAGCAGACCTGTCTAGTGCATGCTTAGGAGCTCCTCCGGGGGCTCGCCCAGGGCATTCGGCAGCTCAGAAGGGCATCCATCAGGTGTGGGTCCTCACCACAGTCTAAACACGTCTTCTGTCAGTTAAATGTTAACCTGGAACAAAGCTACATCTTTTTTTTTTTTTTTTTTTTTTTTTTTGTGGGCTGTATTCACCTCTGTTAAGAAGTAGTTTCTAGATATTTAGTTTGAATTTGGAAAAGCACTATGATACTTCCCGATCATAACAGGACAGCTTTGTGAGCATCAGTGCTTGGTAACTGATTGGTAGAACCCATATGTGAAACGTCTCTATTCCCTCGGTTCCAGGGTAGCCTTAAAATGTAAATATTTTTGATATGAGTAATACAGATTATATATCCCATAAGTATTAAAACATTTTATTTTATTTGTATTGCCTTCAGTTTGGAGATTTATGATGGATGTGCTTAGCTTAACTGTTTTCATCTTCACTCCAAAGGTAGTCTTTGTTTGCAGTGAATATAACCTATTTTTCACCTCCCTTACTAGTAGCAAGTTCATATTTTTCCCACACTACTTTTTAATTTTCCAAATCTCATAAACATTGTTTTGATGAAAATGAGTGACCAGGAAGGCCATGCATACAGATTTGTGGGAGCCTCTAGGAGCTCTGCATATGTTAACACGGTAGCGATTTTATGCCTAATGATATTAATTGCCAACACAAATTTGCAGTACTTACTAAAAATATATTTGCCTGCAATCGCAAAAAATACTTTTTGAAACAGTTGAAATTTGCTCATTGCAAACTGGTGAGGTGTTTTATTTACTTTATTATTTGAGAAAACTAATTCATTCTGAAAATTTTGTGATTGCCTAGTATAACATACCACTGTGCTAGGCAGCGTATGACAAGGCATAGAAACATAATCACTGTTGCCGTTACAGAAAATATATTAACTAGTGGTTTTATTTCAGCAGACCTAAAATCCAAAAACGCACAAGGCACAGACAAAGTCTCTTCACTCATTAATGCTGCAGATGTGTTGAAAAAAATTGAGGTAAGGCTTTCCTCTAAGTATAAAAGTGAACTCGGAAAGTATAAAACTTCATATTTCTTTTGCCTTCCTACTTCAGCCTTTTAACTGAAAATACAGTGTTTTTGAAAATCTTCATTACTCTCCCTGTTGGTGTATACATACTTTCAAAAAATTTGGGGGGGTTCTCTGTCTTATGTATGGAAAACTGTCCTGAGGGAAAAACTGTTGTCGTATAAAACTATTTGTATCTTTATTTAAATATTTCAAAAGGAAACAACATTCAGAAGGTTAGTACACTGGGCTCCTCCCCATCGCTAACCCAGCCGTTCACTCCCGGATGTGGACTACCAGTGTTACCGCCTCTTACAAATCCTTTCAAAAGCTTTGATGCATACAGAACACAGAATTTTACCTTTCTGATGTTAAAAGGAGGAGGCAGCTGATCACACTCTACATTTTCACTTTATCACTTAAAAGTATCTCGGAGATAATTTCATATCAGACTATTACAGTTGCTTCATTCTTTTTTTGGCTACACTATAAGAATGAACCATAATTTATTTAATGTGCCATTCATGGACATTATTTCTTCTGTTTTGCTGTTTTAAATGATGCTTCCATGAATTCATGTTAAGTGTCGTTCCTACGAGGAGGGTAAATGCTAGAAGTGGGCCTGTTGGGTCAGTTTTGTGCGCTGCACAAGAGGAATCGGTACCATCACATTGCTTCCTGTGGGGTTTATGCCGCTTTACCCTGCTTCTGCGCATGCACTGCCTTGCATTGACAAAGACCATGATAGCAGTTAATGCTGACTGAGAACCCTGAACTCTTACCGTACACCAGGTCCTTAGGAGTTTGTAGCCACACAGAGAGATAGGTTTCAATACTAGGCCGGGATGGCACAGCCACTTGGTGGCAAAAACTCTTACTTTTGCTGTTTTATTTTTTGACCATTATTTGAGCTGGAGATAGCATGTCTTGAAAATAAAGCCAAGGGGGGTTGCTGAAGGAACAGTAATAATTACTGCTTTTGCCTGTAGTGGGACGGTAGAGTGGGACGGTAGCTGGGGCTGCAGGACGAGCCAGCTTCTACTCAAAGAGCACACATTCTGGCCTCCTGCACAAAGTTGATAAGATGGCTACAAGGTACTATAAGGGTGATAACTCTGCATCTCTGGGTGTGGTTTCTCCTCAACAAATTTTATTTCTTCCTTTCTTCCATTTAACACCCTTCTAAGACACTGTTAAAAGTGGGTTTTTAAATCTAGGCATATAAGCAATTTTAATAGAACCAAAGTTGTTTGCAGTGACTGATTGTCCACTTCTAAAGCCAAAGAAGCTTATTAAAGTTCATTTCTACAGCAGAAGAAATTTATTAAAGTTTTATTACAATACAGCATCTCTGTGGAGGAAGAGATAACAACATACATCCAAATCACACAAGCAATCAGACAGTAGGAAACGAACATACAAGCTTCTTATTTCTACTTAACAGAAAACCTGTAAAGTAGTAAGCTAAGATAGTGAAATCTCATGGAACCAAAATGGAAACTATTGAATAGGAAAGTTTAAACTAGCTTAATGCAAAGGGAATGAAGTAATGAGACAAAAATGTGTGTTTCTTGCCGGGAATTTAGCTCAGTGGTTCTGCTGCCTGCCTTGGAAGTGCAAGGTCCCAGATTTGATCCCCGGTACCAGAACAATCAAACAAACACACTCAAAATGTGTGTTTCTTGAGATAATTTATTTTAAGAAAAGTGTATAAATCTTTCATTTGTTAACTTATTTAAGTATCTTATGGTTTTGATTAGGGTCTTTGTTGTAGAAATAAGTTTAAACACAGTTGAGGTGGCAACAGTAAAAATGTAGACATGATCATCCCTATTCACACTGAAGTCTATATTTTAAAATTTTTACATAACTATGAAATAATATGCTAACTGTGAAATAATAGTAACATGATTTTTTTTCAGATGCAGTGTAGACCTTGCACAAAGTTAAATATAGCACTACAGTTCCATCTTAACTATGTTAACTTGTGGATATAGGCCTCTTCTGATATGATTAAAATGGAAAACACAGAATGCTGTATATGAATTAATGCTAACAGCATTATATATGTGTGCATTTAGAGAGATCTGTAAATATATTTTGCTTACTTGCAACTTCCCAAGGAGATTGCCATTTGGGAAAATCACAGTCATTGCAGTAATAACTCATAAGACAACATCAGGGTCAATATTGAGATGAACAGACTTCCTTCATCTTTGTCTGCCTGAATAGTATGAGCAGACAGGAAAAGAGGGCCTTGAAGTGTGAGTAGAAGTTGAGTTAGTATCTTATGTAGTCTTTTCATTGCTTTTGATTTTCTTAAATTCAAATGTGGATGTCATTATGAGACTTTTAAAAAATAAACATTTAAGAACCAGTAAGTGAATAGCTAAGTTATAGTCACTCCAGATATAAAATATATTTATCTTACTATGTAATCTGTAAAGCACATATCTTATAGTAGAGATGGAGCATCTGTAGATTCATGAGCTAGTATTCTACTTACTGTTTAAGAATAATCAGAAAATAGATAAAGCCTTAAATATGATTATTAGTATGTGAAATTATTGTTAACACCCACCTTGTAAAACACTTGAGAAATTGTACCTTTGTATATACTAACTGAGCCTTGTAAAAGTTGGTGAACGGATAGTGGCAGTAATGAAAACTGGTCACTTTATATCAAGTAAAAGAATCATTGATATTTCTTATAGAAATATAAAGATGCAGTTTTAAAGGTAAACTTGTGTGCTAGTGGTGACTACGGAGTAGGTAAGTAGAGCCACGAGATAAAGCTCTTCTAACCCTGTTTTTGTCTTCTGCCTCTTGTCTTAGAGTTGCTGATAATTGCTGGAATTGACCATGATTTCTTTCTGCCCAACCTTCTAGATATATTAAGAAGCAAAAGTTCCTAGGAATGGGAAGTAGACAATGAGGGGCAAAAGAAAAACAGACAGGGATAATCTGTGCTAGGGTAATTTCCCTAAGGGTGACCTGCAGCCAGGATGGCTTGATAGTTTCAACTATTGCACCTATAAAACTAGAACACAGGCATTTTGAAATATTAATTAATTACATGTTAGAAGGAAAACAATAATATTCTGAAAGTTCTTCTCTGTAAATGATACGTCAGATACTTTGGGAGGAAGTGGGATAGGCATCATAAAAATGAAGCATTACGCACTAGGGCTGGTAAGCCAGTGTCAGCTGAGACCAGGTATGAAGTCACACGATGAAGGAAACCCTAGTGTGGTCGTAGGACACTTCCTTCCTGGAGCTAACTCCGCGTTGGACCTCTGGGGTGGGTTAGAGTGAGGTGGTCTGGAACTGTGTTCTCTTCCCGCCGGACGGGGACCAGCATCTAGTGATTTCCCTGTCAGTTAATGAGACTCATCCATACTAGGAATTGGAAAAGAAAGGCGATGGTGAAAAATCCGATGAGGAAAACGAAGAGAAAGAAGGAAGCAAAGAGAAAAGTAAAGACGGTGAGGACGAGGACAACGAGGATGCAGAGCAGGAAGACGACGACGAAGAAGAGCTAGAAGAGGTAAAGGCAGTTTGGGTGGGGAGCAGTTACTCACCTGAAGGGTTATCTAAGAAGGAGTCAGGTGTGTGGTGGATAACAGATCAGCACATGGAAACCAGGTGGATAGGAACCGAAAGTGTATTCTTGTACTGACATCAGTTCCTTGTCTTAAGAGAATTATCTTAAGAGAATTATCGAAATGCCAAGGGTGCCGAACAATATATGGGAGAACAGTAACTTGACAGTAAATGGAAGTCCACAAACTAAGGACACTGATCAGATGAGTGCAGTGCAGATTTAACAGAATTTTAAGTTGGGGCTAAGGAGATGGAGGGCTTCAGCATGTCAGTCTAGTAGGGAATCTGATGCCGGTGGTTTCAGATTCGGTAGTGTGTGTGGAGCTGTCGAGAGTATGGACAGTCTGCCTTGGACCTGGCTAGCACTCCATGTGTTGGACTTGAGATTTCCAAGTTTCAAATACATGGTGTATTTCAAAAGCTGGAATCAGGGCCGGGGATTTAGCTCAGAGGTACCAGCGCCTGCCTCGCAAGTGCAGGACCCGAGTTTGATGCCGGTACCAAAAAAAAAGCTTTAAGGGCCAGGGATTTAACTCAGCGGTACCAGCGCCTGCCTCGCAAGCACAAGGACCCGAGTTCAATCCCCGGTATCAAAAAAAAAAATGCTGGAATCGATCAAGACATTTTGATGGGGTAACTTTGCTGGTCCTAGCCTCTTGGGGACTTTGTAGCCCTTCACCCAGTAGCCTAGGCTGAGCCTTTCTCCTCCATCCCAGTGAGCTTTGTCTTTGCTTCATTTCAGCCTCTTACACCACACTCCGAATCTTTTCTTCATCTGAAACTGCTCCATACAATGAATATGGTTTTGCATTGGACTTTGTATTCTTTGGAAATTTATATTGCTATAAAGGGAGAGGTGTGGGTATATTTATGTTTCTAACCTCATTTGTTAAATACTCTGCTCTCCTCATTGACTGGAGCTCTTGTTAGCTATTCGATTCCCATATCTACTTGGATGTATTTTTCAGCTCTATTTCCATTAATCTGTTTGTGGAACAACACTAAGCTGTTCCAGTTATTAGTAGAAACTTGTGATTGTTTAATGTTTTTAAGGTATGCCTTACTGCTACTGTTTTCAAAAATTTCCTGAATATTCTGTTTCTTCTTCTCCATGAATTTTAAGACTAAACATTTAACAAACCTTTCATGTAACATTTAGTGTCTCCAGCTTTTCTCCACATCACCCTTTCGTTCCCACTTCACTCTGACGTGACTGGGACTGTCAGGGCTTTTGGTTCTTAGTTCCCTTTGTTGGTTCCTCGTCTCAGTTTCCTTCTCTGCAGAGCTGAGCTCCTCACTCACCTTTCATCCTCTTTCCTGTCGTGACTCTTGTCCTCTACGTCTGGGACATTGCTCCAGAAATACAGTGGACCCTTGACTTAGAAACTCAACCAGTTCCTGAGGGCTGGTTGTAACTCAGGTTGGTTGTGAGTCAGTACAGCTGAGATCTGGATGTTTACCTGGGTACACGCTATAGATAATAAGAGGCAGATAAATCTTCCATGAACCTAATTAACCCAAGTTTTTCGTGTGTCAAGCCAGTCGTAACTTGAGGGTCCACCGTACTATGTCTGAAGCACCACAAATATTGATGCTATGAGAACAAAGCCAGCCCCATTTGCTTGCTAACATTTATTGTTTCTCTTGCTAAATCATCTCATCAGTTATTTCAGAGCACCTTTTTCTTCCTAATTTTCTTTTGGTTTTTCAGTACAAGGGATTAAATTCAGGACCTTGCACTTGTGAGGCAGTCACAGCCTTAATCCCTCTTTTTATTACTTTTCCTTTCACTCGCAGCAGGTGAAAACACCTTCATTCAGAAAATGAAGCTATTGACAGCAAGCTCCCCGAGTTTCATAGCCTCTGTCTTCAAACTCAGTGCCTTTTCTTCTCTTCCTCTTTTTTATCAATGGAAGAAGTCTCCTTCATGCTGTTTGGAGATAATAATCCCGCTCTTTTTTGGACTGTAATCCTCAGGTCATTTTCCTTTCTATATTTTTAAGTATCTTTTTCTGTTTGTCTCTTCCATTTATAATTTTTGTTTTGTTTTGTTTTTGGTACCAGGAATCAAACTTGGGTCCTTGCATTTGCAAGGCAGGTGTTGACACCACTGAGCTAAATCCCAGGCCCTTGTATTTATAAATTAGAACATGTTCATTCCCCTTTATAAAACATGTTCCCATATTCTCCCTCCAACCCTCTCAGTATCTGTTGGAAGACGCTTCAGCTGTCGTCTTGTAGTTACCCCTCCCCATTTAGCTCTTTTCATTCTGATTTTCACCTCATGGGATTCAAATTAATGCTGTCAGGGTAAACGGGGAGGGGAGGAGGGGGTGAAGGGAGGGCAGGGACGAGGGAAAAAATGAGAACCAAGACCTGTCATGTAGAGGTACAAGATCCCAACAACGACTGTAACTGTACTGTATCCCTAAAATGTACCAATAAACTCAATAAAAAAATTTAAAAAAAACAATGCTATCAAGTTCACCATAGATGAACTTTAGCCCTAACTCCACTTGGCCTTTTACAGCATTTTTAAATTACACTTTTGAAATTTTTCCAACTATTCTATTAACTAAAATATTTCCTTAGGGCTGGGGATTTAGCTCAGCAGTTCAGTGGCCTGCCTTGCAAGAGCAAGGACCCGAGTTCGATCCCCAGTACCAAAAATATATATATATATGTATATTTCCTTTATACCCTGCGAAGCAAGCAGCCGAGTTCGATCCCCAGTACCAAAAATATATATATATATGTATATTTCCTTTATTTAAATAGATGAATTTAAGGCAATTACATGCGTCTACTCTATGTGCCAGGCTTTGTGCTAGGTTCCAGGAGAAAGACAGGCATGGTTGTTTTCCTTTATTTTTGTGATACAATGCTCCTTGTTTTTCTCCGGTTTCTTGTGTTTTCTCGTATTTATTGTATGTTTTCTCCTTTTGTGGTGTCTTGAGTTCTCTTTGTTCTGCTCTGTAAATATCAGCGCTCAAGTGTTAAATTTCCTTAATCCCTTCAGAAAAACTTGTTTGCATCAAAATCCAAATACAGTCCATACTGTAGTCACAGACACCGATTGTAACTCTTCATCTAGATCCAAGATGGATTTTCGAATTTTTTATTTAAAACAGAAGCTATCTTCTGAGTCATTTGCATGGAAGACAGTCCTGAGAACTAGGATGTTCCCAGAGGCTTACCTTACCTAAAAGAAGCAGAGAGGCTCTGGATAGATGTAATATGGTGTCCTCTACATTTGCTCTGGTCAGAGGTCTTTCTTTGATGGAACGAAAATGTTCCTGTGCTTACTGTTACACATTGTGAGCGTGAGCCTCAGTTCTGGTGCAGTGCAATGAACATTAGTGTAGACTGGCTTCGTTTCTTGGGTGTCCGTGCATTTGGTTGAGTTAAGTAACCCACGTATCCCCCACTGAGGAGCGCTGCAGTCGTTCATGGTCCTGCTGAGGTGAAGATGCAGCCCTTCATGTTCTTGTAGCTGGCTGATACCTTAGAATGGTAGGAGGTGCTATCTGGAAGAAAGCAGCACGGGTAGACACGGGTGAAGACTCATACTTTACGTTAGGTATTATAAACTTACAGGGATAGCTTATGTATTTTTTAATAATAATGCTACTAATTCGTTTTAATTTTACCAAGAAATATACCATTTCTCTTAGGAAAATGACTACGTTAACTCATACTTTGAAGACGGGGATGATTTTGGTGTTGACAGTGATGACAACATGGATGAAGCAACCTATTAACCATGAAACTTCTTTAAAACATGTTTATAATTCATCTTCTGAGCATTTGGACAAAGTGGATTTGGTTTGTTTCTCATAAGGTGTGAGTACCTAGTTTATTTTTGTCCCTGTTTTGCTGAACAAATACTTTTTACCAAAATATGTAAAACTGGTTTGAGCTTACACACTAGTTACCTTGTAAACGGGTCTGTGAAACTCTGACCCTTCTCTTAAACACCTTTGCCATCTCAGGTCTGCCGGTGGATTTTGGAAAAGGTTGGATTTGAATGTGCCTAAAGAGCTTTTGCATCTCTTAATTTATATCTCCATACTTGAACAAACTGTTTTCTTTAACGGTTTCCTATAATGTAAAGGCTGACAATACAGCACATGGAGCACTTTAAAAACAAACTTGAAAATTATTTTTTACTTCTACGTGGAATGTATTACTACATTGTGACTACAGAAACTCACCTGAGCTCTCACAAATGCAAACTTAAGAGAGTGAAAGTTTTGTGATTAAACACATACACCTGGGGAAAGACATCCCTGTGAGCTCTGATGTCGCAGTTCACTCCTCAGTGTGGGGAGGTCTGCATATTGGATGGGTAGAATTCTTGGATTTGGGCCACTTCAGACGGTATCCGTACGTGATCTCACTGTCATAAGATAGCTGGGTTTATGAAGTTAGACCAAGGCATCCTGCTGAATCTTGCACTTTCTCTGCGTGTGGAGTAGGTTCCACTTCTATTCGCTTCACAGCAGCAGCTACGTGTGAGCTGCAGGGAGGGCAGCGGCCTCCACTGTGCCTCAGGCTTCCTCACGGCTGGCTACGTAATAGTGCAGAATAAACCCAGGTCATTTTGGATTAATCCTAGTTTAATTTAAAAGCTAGCTCCCCTTCCCATTTTATATTTTGGGGAGAAAATACCTACAAACCTCAGCCTCCATAGAACTAAAAATGCCAAAGATTTTCAAAAAATTCATATTGTATATTTCAAAAACAACTTATTAATATCACATACCAAAATAAATATATTTTTCTCTTTGGGAAGATATCACACATTTGCCTGAGCACCAGAGCCCTAAATTCTATTTCTTCCTAGAATATTAATTTCATCCTTGAACCTGAAAGGGTCAAGTTTCCGTGCCTTTGTTTCTCCACCTGTAAAAAGTTTCCTATAAAAATTTTTTAAACACTAACCAGAATTTTACCTTATATATACATACTCTTTGGCTTTTAAAAATGATTAGGTCTTAAATTTGATTCTTACCTTCTAATCAGTCATAGCTATAACTGAAAACACACTTTTCCTTGTAAAATATATTATTGCGGTCAGATTTTCCCATTTTGTTATTTGTAGGGGAAAACTGGAGAACATTTATGTTGTCTTGTGTGACTTCTCAACATGACTGTCTCAGGAAAAAGATCTCTTTCAATGGCAATACTTCCACAAATAATTCAAGATGGGTTAGAAGCCCATCTCTAGTTTAGCGCTATATTCTTATATGTGACTTACTGTTTAAAGGAGCTTATCAAACGTCTACCAAGAATAGAAAGTTTTCAGTAATAATGGCAGAGCTGTCATTTGGGAATGATAATTAACATAGTTGTTTAATTCTTTGGCTCCTTTGGTATCACAGCCAAATACTACTGTTTAGTCCGTAGGAATCGTATCTCTGCACTGTTTTCTTGCTTTCTTACAAGTCTGCCGCTAACTCCTTGATTCGGGCAGATGCACTGAAGTACGTCACTTTTCCTGAATTTCAGTTCGCTGTCACTGGGCTAGTCCTGCAGTGGGTAGGGCATTCCTGCTGGGCGAGGCTTTGCCCTAGGGGGGTCCTGCTAGGTATATTCTTTCCCCTTCTGGAAGAGCTTTTTATAATTTTAAATGGTATTATGAGGATAGGATCTGCAAGTTGTTTTATTAACCAGCATAAGCCTTATTTTTCTGGCTGAAGATCTGAGACTATGAAGTTACTTCATCGGAAGGTAAACAGTATTTTGCAGAGACAGCTTCTTTATATATAGAAAAGAACTTATTGGTGATATAACAAAACTGGTTGTTATAATGCTTTTTCTTCTGTTATATGTTTACACATTAAATTCTTTCAAAGTAAAATTGCGTTATTTTATTGTTTTACTTTTAATTGGATATAGAAAGTGAGTTTGATAATAATTTTACTTAGTGAAATACATATTTATGGAGCAGAGATGCCTGCATCATGCATTGTTCAAGAAACCACCACCATAAACAGCACAAGAAAACTAGGGTGGGATTAGGAAAAAGCTGTGAGGACAAAGTGATTTGCAGGCAGTCTAATCTTAGCATAATCCATTTTCTGGACCACCACAGAATGGGAAGCTGTTCAGATCCCTGTTACATTCCTTTCCTCCCAGGTGTGCACTCCTATGTACAGTGTTGGTGGCTTTAAGATGGCTGAAGTCTCTGGAGCTTTCAAAAACGTCTTAGTTTAAAAAAAAACTAAATACTACTTCAAGATGCTTTTGAAAATGGAAAAACACATGGAAAGAATTTACTCCCTCAAAACCCAAGAGCTTTCTTTCTGCTACTCCTAATTTTAAAGAATTAATATTCTTGAAGGGGAAAGATTTTTTTTTTTTTTTTTGGTACCAGGGATCCAACTCAGGTCCCTGCACTTGTGAGGCAGGTGGCGGAAGCACTGAACTAAATCCCCAGCCCTGGAAAGATTTTTAAATTAAAATTTATATATAAATCATTTCATATGACTGATTCAGGATTTCATAAACAAACTGTTGACAATGCCTTACCATATCTTTCTTCTAAGGAAAAATTCCCAGACCTCTAAACTTCATTTTATTTTGTTTCACTTATGTCCTGCCAGTAATCCAGTGGAACAAACTGAAATCTGAATTTTTTTTTTTTTTTTTTTTTGGTACCGGGGATTGAACTCCGGTCCTTCTGCTTGCAAGGCAGGCCACCGAACCACTGAGCTAACTAAATCCCCAGTCCCTGAAATCTGAATTTGTAGACCCCTGGCAACTAGCTCTACCTTCTATCTCTGTATCAAACAGTGCGTACAGGGGGGAAAAGTTTGCTTTATTCAATTAAGTTCACCAGTTTTTCACTTTAGATTGAATAATAAAATAAAAACTTTATTACATTTTCAAATCTTTTAAAATACAAATAAAGGGCAAAAAGTGTTCAAAAGTTTTAGTTATACATGCTAACATAATAGTCTTACATTTTCCAATTGTACAAAATACATTATACAAGATTTACAGAGTTTGTATACATAAAATGAAATAAAGCATTCAGATATTTCTATAACAGTGCAATATGCACATACTTACAAGAAAAATACTGATTTCCTGAGCAAATGTTGTGATTCAAAATAAGAATGACTTCTGTCATAATGCACCATATTTAAGTATAGACTTAAGAATTCCACCTTGGGCTGAGGACACAGATCCAGCCAGGGCACAGCACTTGCCTATCATACAGGAGGCCCTGAGCTCAGTTCTCAGCACCACAGAACAAAAATTTAAAAATACCTCCAACTTAACCCTTAACACTTTGCTTCATATTTCTAACTATATCCTTCATATTTCCAACTAGAAGTAAACCTCTAAGAAAGAATGGAATAAGTAGCAGTTCACTGAAAAGGACTTTTAAGGCCACTGAATAGGTAGAGTACAGGCAGAAAGCTGTAAGCGTCACGAAGTGCTCTGGAGAGGACAGGTAGACATGACGTTACACTTCGTTCTCCTCCTCAATGCGGCCAGCAGACGTTAGAAATGGACAGCCAAAATATTGCATTTAAATGGCCAGCCTTCCGTTCAACACTTAACTGTCACCTGACATTTTAAAAAGTGTCCTAAAACCATCAGATTTTTCACTTGCTACTCCAAAATTCTAAGGGAACCACAGTGCTATGACTCACAGCTCCATTACTTTAAATTCACAAACACAAAGGTAAAGCCTCAAAATGAATTCAAATAAGCGTTTTAACATAAAGTTCACAATTATTAAACAGTACTGGTGCTTGTTATTACCTAGTTATACAATTTGTATTTGCTATAAATTTAATGTATAAGTATTTTTAAAAAGCTTAAATTCTAAATTCTATTAAATAATTTATTTTTAAAACAGCGTATACTAATTCTATATAACCTGTATATAGAATTATATATAATTCTAATTCTTTAAATGTATGTAATTGAGATATACAGAAAAAATAAATTGCCTCATTGTGTTTCATCAGAATATATGTATTTCATTCAAAAAGAATACTCTGCAAGACAAAAGTTTTAATAACTACACATTGGACTCCTCCGTCACAATTTCAGTGTAAAATGAACAAAGGAATCAGTGGCTCTAATTTCACCAGTTAAATGTTTATGGAGTATACAAACGACATCCAACCTGTTCTGTCCTGAAACAGTCTGCACTTTCTACTCTAAAGCTGGGTTTTGCAGCAGGCTTAATAAACAATGTAAACTGGTCAAGTTAACACTAAGCATAAATTAAAAGATCACTCCTCTTTCCAAGATGCCAAGGCACACTAAAATAATTAAAAATTATTTAGCTAAAAGACCTCCTGACTCCTTAATCAGTTCACTGCAACTTCCCTATTAAACACTTTTCAGAAGAAGTCTTCTGATATATGCAAGGCTTTAGAAATGTTTGACTTCTCCATCTGATGCTTTTTTTCCTAAAAACCCGTATCATTTTTAACTTTAATATTTATTCACACTATTTTGTATCAAGATTGGAGCTTGCATCTAAAATGATTCATTCAAAAGCTGAAACATTATGAAGACTGGGAAGCAATACCCAGAAAATTCGGGGGCATGTATCTGAAGGTGACAATTTTATACAAAACAGCCAATGTGGACTCCACCAAATCTTGCTTCTATTGAATCATTTTACATTTTATAAACAAGTATCTTTTTAAAAAGTGAAGGATGGAAATCAATATGCAAATGCTTATTAGCCAGACTGGGGCTGTTGCGGGGCAGAGCTTGTAGGGTGGCACCTTCAAGCCCTCACCCAACCCATCCACCTCTGGCCTGTGTCCCCATCGGCTGTGTGCCATCAGCTGGACACTAGCTGTCTTAGCGGGACATTTTCTCTCTGAAAAACGTGGTTAAGGAATCCACAAGTGAAGCCATTTTTCTCTGTTATAAACAGAAAATGCCTCCTAATGCTTTGTTTTTTGCTTAACCATTTTCTGCAGCACACCTCACAGGCAAACAACAAAGACTTGCACTGGACCCTTTAACTTGTGCTTGAATGTGAAGGTAGGGTGGAATTTACACAGCCTATGTAATGAATCCAGTTAGACCATGTGAAATTCTACTTCGATTCTAGAATTTACAGTAACGTACATAAAAGCGTATTATAAGGCATTAAATGTAATTAAGGCTTGTTACTATATGTAACAGCAATGATGTCACAGTATGTGGAGTTATATTTCTAAATAATGCTAATGTGTACTATAACACTTCAATGATGAACTACAAAGTGCTTTCAAATATCAAAAACAGGCAGAAGTGAAGTTAAAGGATCAAAAAGCATTAAGAGAAAGAAAAATTGTTTTTAGCTTTAACCTATTCCAGTGTTCTAGTGATCAAGCACCAAATTTTCAACTGTACCACATTCTTTGTGGTTTTAAAAATATTTTAATCATTTCTTAGCTACCTTCAGAATTAAACATGTCTGTTTCCTAGCATAGGGGCTGAATGTTTTTTAATATAAGTTTCAAAAAAGGATGTTAGGTACTTGCTATCAATTTTAGAAGCAAACTTTTTTTGCAACTAAGTAATTTGGTGGTTCACAGTAATACATTTTCTTCAGTTCTAGACATCTGATACTATCATTCTGCTTCTGAAATATAACCTTAAATAAAAAAATTACAAGATCAAGTTTAAACATAGTTTTGAGTAAGAAAAATAACACATCTTCCAAAAACTTCCTAAACATTTGAATTCAGTTTTTCCTTTCAGCACTAATACAACAGCCTTATGGATTGAGCGCTCTTAACCTGAACCACCATCAACTGTAGGGATTCTCTATATAATCCACTTGTAAATGCTCAGTGAGTCTCCGAAAGATAAAAACAAAAAGCATCTTCAATCACCCTACATTGTCTTTGCAGCGGTTACTGAGCGATTCACCACACTGCAAAGGCACCGTGCTGAGGAGCTGACTGCTATGTTTCATGTTGAGCAGCGGCTGACTGAGGATCTTCCCCATACAGTCTGTGGCCATCTTGTTGGCCAACATGGATTCCTCTGGTGGGCACAATGCCATTTTCCATTTCTCTGTGCTGGGATGAGGGTGTGATTCCTGAATGCAAATGCGAAGAGTCCACTGTTGAATGGTGACTAACATCCACTTTAGCTAAAATCTCATAGTACAGCAAATAAAATACTGGTGTTATTATACCTACTATCAACATTATCACCACAGCTGTCCACCACCCTATTCCCCAATCTGCTCCATAATAGGGATCCTTGCGTTTTGTGTTTTTGTTATCGGGCTCAAAACAGATCTGTTGCGCAGTTAAGGCTGACACTACCTCATTAAGGTTCTCCTTCTTGGTGTCTGTACACTTCACAATTTGTTCAATGTCTCGATCAACTTCTTTTAAAAAGCTACCAGCTGACTCACTGGAAGAAAGAGATTCATTTGCTGGCAGAATTTCCTGTTGTTCTGGAGCACACTGAACAGGTGAAGGACGTGAAGCCTGTCTTCCTTTTGGAGGATGAAGTGATTCAGTCAATGAACTAAACTTTTTAACTGGAATTTTGATAGCTCTAAGAGCAAAAAAGTCTTGATCGCTGATGAGATTGTTAACTCTCTTGATATCTGCTACCTATAAGGAAGAAAAACACAATATTCAACTGTATTCTAAATCAAACTAGAGGTAACATTCATCCCACTTACTTTGGGGAGAAAAATTGATCTTCGTTATTAGTATTGTTACCATAAAAGATTTGAATTTTGATTTTAAGTCTGAGGAAATGACCAACCCCTTTTTACAGTCACCTCTTATACTACAAGTATAGTAACATCACTAATGCTCGCTATTAAGTAGATTTTAGGATCCTGTGCTGAGTCCCTTTGTACTTCACGCAAAAACACCACTGTTCAGCTGCGCTTGGGAGCAATGTGTGAAGGGAGGCTTACAGTCACTCTGCTCGTGGTCTTTATTCCGGCTGGCCTACAGGCAAATACTAACCATTAAATGCCCGTATTTTGTCCAGCTAAGATGCCATCGACTCTAAGATGTATTATTACTTTATCGAAGGGGGAAACCCCACCAAATATAATGAAGATGTCAACGTTCTAACTTCGAAGATGTTAAAATGTGTGAAAAAATGCACCTTAGAATTAATAGAATATAGTGATGTACTCCCTTTTATTATTTTGTCCTCGGAAGCCAGTTTTTTCCCCTGAACCCCTCAGTGTAAATAGAGTATTCAGCCACCTCTGAGATCAGCCACAGGTACACTTCCCATGTACATGAGCATCTCTGCCTGTCTGTGCTCTGTCTCAAGTAGCAAGTACCAGCCAGGTTCTCTCACCACCCGTAAGTCATTCAACTTTTCCACTACGGGTTTAATCAGTTCAGTCTAATTTTGAGAGAAGGAAAGTGAGCGAGTCTAGGATGAAACTTCAATCTCTGGTAGTTTGGTCAGCTCCTTGGTGCTGCTGCTACACACCAAGAGAAGGAGCACTGTTGGGTGAGGGCAGGATGAACAAAGATTTTAGCCATACTGCCTCTGAGGCGCTTGATACGTAAGCAGAAGATGTCAGATCTTCCAGTTCATAAGCGAGGTCCTCCCTCACTTTGCTTACTCATGTGAAAACCTTTCAACAAGGTAGGTTCTCCTATGATATGGTCCAACTGTCCTCCAGTTGTCTCAAAGTGCTTCATCTCGGTCTGTGCCACCCATTTCAGAACCAAGAATGGCCTGAGAATCAGGGTCACTAGAAAAACTGGCAGAAGGCAACAGACTAGATCTGCAAGGAATAGCAACACTTGAGAGATGCTGAGTATGAAAAATCCACAAAGGAGATTTAAAGAGAGGCCAGAAAGGCAGTTTTAAACCACACTGGTTGAAAGCAGGAGGGCAAGGTTTGAAGTGTGACTCAGACTTTCTAGCTGTGTGGTTGAGGGCAAGTTGTTTAACCTCTCGGCCATTCAGGTTCCACACCTGCAAGATGTCAGTAACAATATTACCTAGCTTATCCAGTCAGGGTGCATATTAATGAATTAAAGAATTTGCAGAATACTTTCGAACAGTGACTGACAGCATGCCATATAAACATTAGTTGTTACTGCATTTTAACAGGACAATCAGAAATGGGCAAAGCACAGGAGATCAAGGAGAGTTTAGGAGGAAGTGAAATCAACTATGGACTAGTGATCAGTGAAGACCAGAATAGGTCACAGTGAAAAACTCTTGCAGTGTCACGTGTGGAGTAGTTGGAGAGGACTGAGAATTATCTAGGAGATGAGACATCTTACTACTTTGGAACTTTTTTGCTTTAAAGTAAATGAAGATTCATGGGCCAACCCCAAATCTTAAACTCATTCTTTTAATGTTTTTTTGCTTGGTACCGTATTTTCTTTTTTGTTTGTTTTGGTTTTTTTGTTTTTTTGAGACAGAGTCTCACTATGTAGTTGAGACTGACCTGGAACTCACTAAGTAGCCCAGGCTGATCTCAAACTCACAGCGATCCTCCTGCCTCAGCCTCCCGAGTGCCACTACACCTGGCTGGTACGTATTTTCTTACTAGTAACTACTCAACTCTCTGGGCTTCCAAGGTTTATCCCCTACCTCTGTTATCTCTCTGAATGTTTTGATAACTTCCTTGGTTACATTTAGGTTTCCAACCCTGCATTTTTATTCCTTTCACCACTGTTTTATAGTAGGCATATTTTTAGTAATTCTTAAGACTACAGTTGGAGTACAGCACTACTTACTGTATTTTTAAAGTGATGACTTTTGTAAGGTTAATCATCCATTGCTAGCTGAGCTCCCATCAAAAGGGAGCCTGCTTATCTTCATCCCTTCCTACTGTTGTCTCAACTTTCCCACCAACTAAGCCCAATCCCATTCTCTTCTGCTAAGCTAACCAGTTTTCATCATTCTTCCTTTCAAATGATCAATCAGCTAACATATCTGATGTTCCCCAAATATATTTTCTATCGGCTTCTGCTCTGTCACATATTTTAGTGTAGTCCTTGTCATCTTCATTTGAATTATTCCAACAGTCTTTTTCTCGGATCCCCTCCAACTGACAAGCAAGGTCCCGGCTGATTTTGTTTCCCTCAGGTTAAACCTCACGATGAGGATCTCTTCTCCTGTTACACGGAACAGACTTTGCTTCGGTTGCATCAAAGTCCCTCATCTCACTCTGTGCCACCCATTTCTGAAACACTGTTAAACTCCTGGTGTTTGCCTTTTTTCCCCTGAAATCTCTACGTAACTGTCACATGCCTCAAACACTTTCTACTTCACTGGGCTTACAACTTATTTTTAACCACTAAACAGGATTTCAAATTTCCCTCCTAACAGTGTTCCCAGGTGCACTGAAGGGAAGCTAAGTCATTCTGTAAGAAAGTGACTGCACCACCCTCCGGGATGTCTGCCTTGTTATTGGCATTGCCTCTCTGACCGAAGACACATTCAGCCATTTATTTCTTAGTGATCTCATATTTTTAAAAATATGTATTCACAGGTGTGTTTGCACTAAAAACTGAAATGAGCTATTTTGTAATTTAGTAATGACAGGAATGGTATCGCCATACATAAGCATGTTCAGGAACAACAATTAACCAGCTTATCTCAACACTAAATGCATTTCAATAAAATATTTTATTACATTTTAAAATCAAAATCTGTAATGTATTTGTTTTGATAAATTGTGAATAATTGCAATAATTATCCAGAAAAAAAATACATAGACTCTTATAGCCATAGAAAGACTTTTTGAAAAATTCAATTTAAATGGCTACAAACACATACACATAATAGGAAATTAGAAACATTATGTGTTCCTATTGCATGATAGTATGGTAAGTAATCAGTAAAAGGTTTTCAAGTACAAAAATATAAAAGATTCTGTGGGAGAATAAAATATTAAGAAAAAGAATAATATAAAATTTCATGTTAAAAGCAAAATTCTTATACACACACACATATACTTGTACACATTTGTGCGTGCACATATTTTTAAATGAAGATTTCAGGCAATAATTCTGGCCGTATTTAGAATTCCATGGACACATTAAAGGAGTACTCTAATAGTCTTACTTTTCAACGTCAATACTGACAACATTCTGGAAATTATATCCTTTGTAAATACTTTGCATGATTAGGTAGAATTTTAAAAGTTCACCTAAAAATATACAACGAGGTTAATAGATAATTTTAAATTCTACTAATTTGAGAGTGTAAGAACAGTAAGTTCGAAAACCAATATTTTAAATCAGCCTAAATGTCAGTGTATTTATATTACAACATATCATGCTAAGGACCTAAGATGGACATGATACAAGTGAAATGAATTTAAACACAGTTTAGCCAATTTTTTTTAACAAATACCTTTTCTTTTTATTTAGTAATTCCTCTCTTGGTACTCTATCCTAAAGAAATTAGGTACCACCACTTAAACTATAGTTGTAATGGTAGTCATTGCACAGTGTGTTACACTGCGAAAATCCGGACTAGTCACGAATAGAGGAATAGCTTAATAAATTTGGTATGTCCATATATGATTATTTAGCTATTTTAAAAAGTAAGAACCTATACGGTTTTGAGGGATTATGAGAACTGTCCATGATATACTAAGAAATGAAAAGTGCATGTTGCAGAATAATACACATACTATGTATGTTTTAAAAACAAAAATAACCACACCCCAAATAAGTATAAAATGAACCAAAGTAATAGCACTGGTTATCTAAGGAACCAGGGCAAAGAAACACTTTTCCTTATATATTTTTACATTTCCTTACTGTGAATAAAATATCATATTTGGGTATTTTTCACTACTGCAGATAATGGATTTAGAGATAAATTCAACTATTTAAAATTTCAAAAATTAATATCCACTGACATCATATGGATTTCTATGTAGAGTGAAAAAGAAAAAAGGAACAAACAAGATACACATGGAATTTATTTCAATTTGGGTTGGGCAACAAATGATATATTCTGGACCACATTATGTAAAACTAAATTAAAACTTACCGTGCAACAGTACTGAAGGGCTATTGCATTTAAAGTGTCTCCCTCCTGTATGTCTTTTGTTAATAAAATAATGTCATCAAGTCTATCTCTTGATGTACTTCTTCGGACTCTCTCTTTTCCTCTGGATCGAAGCTCATACACTTCAGCATCCTCCTCCAAAATGTCATTGTCTGTGCAGTTTCCAAAAGCATGTACTTGACCACTAGACTGCGCTCCAGGGAGAGGAAAGCTGCAATTCTGATGCCTCCCTGCCATCATGTTAAAATCTAAAGGGGAAGAAAAAAACACTTTGGCATGTAGCTGACTCACTTGACTGATTTACATGCATCATACATTCTTTAAATAATGGTTTAAGTTATTTAAAAACTTAGGTTTCAAAACGCTGAAGTGCAACAAACATATAGCAGGGGAGACCATGGCACAGGAGGAAGGTGACACACAAGTTCACGACACGTGTGGGGTAATCACATCTTTAGCAGGCACACTGCTATGTATTAGGTAAAAAGTTCCTCTTACTCTGAGAATGTGAAGAAAAGTGGGGAAATCGTGTTCTGGATGTCTTAAAATCATGTGCTTGTATTTACGCCTTGTAGTTCTGAGAGATTCAGAGTATGTTTTATACACACGCACAGCATTTTCATGAAACTTCCCTGCTTGTTCTGCGTTGTAAGCTCAAGTGAGACTGAAACATCACTGCACTGTCACCTCTTGGTCACAATTTCTATTTAGTGTAGTATGTGACTTCTATATAGGTCACGAGTTTGCTCCTGGTCAAGAATTTTTTATCCCTGGAAGCTTTTCATCCAAATTAAGGCTCCTCATCAGATTCAATTTATGGTCCATAAAGATTGTAAACAGATTTTTGGTGACTGTTCATTACTACTTTAGTAAAAACACTGCAAGACCAGTGAGAACTGGCCCACTTTTTAAAAAGTATCAGTGAATACTTTTTTACTTGCATATTCACCCTCAACACCTTCATCAAGTTGATCTATTCTCTTTAAAAACAAATGCAAGAATCTAAAAACCTAACTCTACATTCAAGTAAAGATGACAGCAAGCTTTCGGTTACTGTTGTAAAAAAACTGTTAGTGTCATTTTGGTGATAACTGGAACTTGAATGTAGCTCAGATATGAAAAGAGAAGCTAATGATCGTGGCAAGAATTCCGATTTGTGTAACTGAGTAAAAGGTGGTGCTATTCTCCAAGACACAAGCTGGGAGGAAAGTATGGCAATTATAATGAATCCCCCTAAGCTGGCAGAAAGCACTGTCCATTAGACGGGGCTAGACAGTGACATCCAGGGGAAGGGTCTGGGTTGAAACTACAGCCTCCACAAAGGTGAAACTGGCTACGAGCACAAATGAGATTATGCAGTCACTAGGTAGACACCTCTCACTAAATCAGTAGGAAGTAAGAACAAAGGGTCCAAGGTCGAGACTTAAAGAATTTCAAAACTTAGTAACTTGGTGAAGATACTAAAACCCTCCTACAAGGATGGAAAGTGTGTTCAGCAGAGGGAGAACCATACAAGTGTTACGGAAGCCAAGGAAGCAAAATGATGTCCCAAAGGAGGACTCAGTTCTGTCTTGAATGCTACAGATGAGTCCCATGTGAAAAAGGAAAGAAAAAAAAAAATAAAAAAAAACACAAAGCCTGAATTTGTAAAACTGACAAAAACAGATTATGTTCTCTATGTAGGCACACACAAGTTTTCAACCTAGTTCATATAATTAAATCCAATGCCTTAAAAGCTACTTTCTAACACTGCTGTATGGCTGCACTGTAATGCTTTAAAAATTTAAGGGATTCTATTAATATAGCAACTAATAGCTATATATTAGATTATAGCCACTGTTCCCAGAGGTTCTACATTATTTTTTACTAAGAAGTACAGTTACTATACTTGACAGTCACTGATAAAGAAAGCTATCCCTATGTCACATCTCAAAAGTGGTTCTGAAGTCATGATTACAGATATTACTTCCAGGATAAGTTTTATTTCCACTTATGTGACCAAGTCATTTTTAGCCTATGAATGGCTTTAATCTAGGTATGTCACATCTCAAAAGTGGTTCTGAAGTCATGATTACAGATATTACTTCCACGATAAGTTTTATTTCCACTTATGTGACCAAGTCATTTTTAGCCTATGAATGGCTTTAATCTAGGCCAGTGGCAGCTAACCTATGGCATGAGTGCTGCAGTGGGCTGTCTGTATCCCTGAAAGCTGTAGAAGATTCTCCATCACTGATCTAGGGAGTATCTGTGGATGACAGGCAAATTTTATACATATGTATATTTTCTAGGGAGAATATGTTTCATATTATCAAAAGGCATTCATACTAAAAAAAAATTTAGATTCATTACACAGAAATTCATAAATGGCTATATTGACCCGGTTAGCTGAAATTCACTGAGCAATAATACCCTACAGGTGTTCAGACATTTATTTTAATGTTTCTCTCCATGATATGTTGCTAATATTTAAAACCTCACCTGTTTCACACTCTCCTTCACAATGAAATGCGGGTAGCAGAACATCACAAACTGGCTATTCCTATATGAATAATCAAGTGGTTGTCTATAATCAAAATGAACAGCTAGACTTTGGCCCAGGCAGGCAATTACCTGAGCAAACTACTTTGGGATTATAAAGTACAAAGTAGTACTCAAGCCATCTGGCTCAGTCCACTTCACCTCTCTGATTCTAAGGACTGGAAAAAGAGACGAAAGTCTCCTCCCACAACTGGAGGAAGTCGGCTTCCTAAACAGATTACAAGCAGCCAGAAAAAATCATCATCGACGGCTACTGTGGTACAGCGCTCATCGGCTGGGTGTGGACCTGACAGTGGTTTTCCAGACATCTTAGGACGGTGCGGTGGCTGCTGCTGGTCATCCGTCTGCCTTTGCTCTTCCCCGCTCAGGGGATGAGGAAGGAAAGAACACAGAGCCCAGCGGGTTCGGCACTGGGACAGAACCAAGTATCCGCCAGGTCCAATTTTATTTTTAAAAAGCATCCCTCTCTCTCCATTTCTCTCGCCTAGTTCTTTCTTCTTTCTTTCTCTGCGAGCTCCAGCAAGGATTACATCTCTGATTTTTCTACCCCAGCAACACACTTGGACGACGTGCACCAGACGCAGGTCGCGAGAATCCACTGCAACTCAAAGTTGGGGCGGAAACGCGGTGTCCTGGGGACTCCCACGGGTAAGTGGGAGTCGCTCCTTTGAGCCTGTTTCCCCCCCAGCCGGTGTGACAAGCACCTCGGGCCGTCAATGAAGGTCCTGCCGTTCCCCAAGGAACCGGCCCGCGCCCCGCCGCCACCCGGCCTCACCGCGCGCGGAACCCGAAGCT